AGATTTCTCGGGTAAGATTTTTCCAAGCTGTTAAGGAGGCTGTGGTGTGGTAAGAAACCTTTAGAGGACATTTCGCTTTCTGAATTTGAGATGTCGCAAAATATTCCGATAGATAAAGATAAGAAGGAGACAAGATTTTTGTAAAAGCAAAACCCAAGGCTTCTGTAACTCCATCATTAGTCTCCGTTTTGTCTCGAGGTAGACCTATCAGATCCAATACATCACGTACTACACCTAATCTTTCTGTCACTAGTGGTGGAGTTGATGCTAACGCATTGTTGCTCGAAACTATGAAAATGCAGAATATGCATATACTGGAATCTATGAAAATACAGAAAGAGAGGCAACTAAAGCCCTGGAAATGCAGATAGAATCTCTGAAACTACAGAAGGAGCAGCAGAGGAAGCTTTGGAAATGCAAACAAAGGCTATAATTCGAGTGATGGATGAGCAACAAAGCTCATCTCGAACACAGCTATTGTCGGCTAATACGTTGACAGCAGCCTCTGGAGATGTTATTACCGTAATTCCTGGAGCTTCTAAAGCTCAAGTTTCGACCGCATCTTTGCCCGCACAGCTGTTGTATGCTTACGACTCTGATCTTTCGCAGCATGCTAGTTTGCTACCACTACCAAGCGAAAACAAGGAACGGAAATTAGTACCATTACATGCGTGTCTTCTTCTCACACAGCTAGAAATCGATCGAACTCAATTTCCAGTGCCAAAAGTGATTCTAGCACGCAAACTGAGATTTTACCTCTTAATACACCTGCTAAAACCTTACCTCTTAATTCATCTGCTAAAATCTCCGTCTAAGAAACCACACTTATTCCAGAACGAAACACGAGAAAGAAGTTCCTGTTAAACCGCAGAGACAGCACAGAAGACCACCATCGTCTGATCGATCTATTTCTTCTCTTAGAACAGGTGATGTTAAGTCTAAAAGAAATATAAAACAAAAACCGAAGAAAAATTACCATCAGAAATCTTCTGCACCATTCTTATCATCTTCAAATAGTTTGTTAACAGGAAGTGACGCTACGCATTCAGATAAAAGTGAATTTTTAGAAAAGTAAAACTTTGAAAATAAGAAACATCATCGTAAACAAAACGTTTCTTCTTTTTCAAGTAGCGATGATGATAATGATTCGTATTACGGTGGGAAAGAGATAACTTCAGAATCCCGAAGAAAAAGAAAATCAAAAAGAAAGTTTTCTGATTCTTCTTCACGATCAACTGTTCTCACTTCACCGGCAACTTTGCAAGTTACCATTAATGATTCAATTACTCGTTTCGGTGGTAAAGCGAATGAGCAGCCTAACAAGTTTTTGCATGAGTACCAACAGAAAATGCGAATGTTATTTCGGGCTGATGATTTGCAATTACTGCGAAATATTAGTAATTGGCTCAAAGGTGCAGCTGGTGACTGGTATTTACAGCTTTCCCAAGGTCATCATTTGCCCGATACGTGGCATGAGTTTAAAAAGTTGTTCTTGTCTCATTTTCGTAGTGCTGAAAGGGTAGAGGCTTTGAAAATCGAACGTTGCCGTTGCGTTCAAGAAGAAAATGAAACAGCAGCTGATTTCTATCAAAGATATTTGGGACTAAATTTGGAAATTAATCCAAAACCCAAGGAAAATTTACTTCAAAAATACTTTCTTCGAAAATTGAGACGGTAACTTGTTCTTTGGATGAAGCGTGATCCGGCAACGATGTCCTTGGACGAGATACTCAGAAAGGTCGAAGAAGCTGAGATACAGTTATTGTTCGAAGAAAAGAAGAAATCCAGAGATCTCTGCCTAATAGATGGATTTCTACGAATTCTGTGTACGATAAGGATGAAGGAAATCCGCAGGAATTTACGACATCATTAACTCGGCAGCTGGTGCGATTGAAAACACCAGAGAGAACAGTTGTTGTTGCTAATCTTGACGCACCGTCTTCTTCATCAACAAATTCTTCTGGTCAGGAGACTCAGACAGATAAATCTCCTGCTTTTCCAACTAACAACGATAGAAATCGACCAGCTTTTCTTCAAAACCGGCAAACAAATTTTTATGAACGGAATAATAATAATAGCGGAGGTCAGAATAGTAACAATAACAGTCCTCGTCTGCCATTTTCTTCGAATAATTCTCTCAATCTTAATCGTTCAAATCCATCAGCGGCAAATCATAATAGAGAACCGTCAGGACCGTGTCAATTTGTCGTAAAAATGGACATTGGAGAAGAGATTGCAGAGTTCCTTGCACTAATTTTAGAAAAACTGGACACAGTGCAAACTATTGTTTTCACAAAGAGGCAACTCTCGGCGTAGTGCATCTGCCGCATCTACTTTTTCCGGGGGTGATTCACAAAATCGACAGAATTCTAATCATTTAAACTGAAAAGGGAGCAGCTGATTGAGGATAAGCTGACATCCCATACTATTCACAAGTCCTCAACTGAACAGTCCAAAGAACAGGGAAAAATCGAAGCCTTGAAATCTTTATCGCGGTTTCTAAAGCCCAGTCGGGATGTAGAGGAGGTTTTTCGAGCTATACTCGATTTTGCATCGTTGCCATTTTCTTCTTCTTTGTTAGAGACGTCGGGAATTCCATCACTGCCAAATCAGAGGCTTTTGAACAAAAAGTTGGGACTAGTTTAACACTTATTGACAATCTATCCACAGAAAAATCACCTAATTCTAGTTCTTCTCAATTGGAATAAACTAAACGCTTATTTACTAAACGCTTTTAATGTGTCTTACTCTGATTTGCCGTATTTTGATTCCGAAGCTGATGCATTCCTATCTCATGTCTGTACGAATTAATTAGAAGCCGTCTCTCTGTCCTCATCCACAGGGTTATCTGATCACCACCACTACTCTACTCTTCAACCTCTCTTATCATATTCTCTTCCTTAATCATATTCCTCTGCAACTGACGATCAATCTTTTTCTTCCTCTCTCCAATTTTTCTTTCATTTTTGTATGTCTCTTTGTTAACTTTTCTATTCATCCGTTCATTAAGACTCTTTTGCAAATTGATATAATGTGATCCATTGGATCGCGATTTCGATCTGTATTAAGATTTTCTTTTTCAGATAAAGTTTATACCAGCATGATTAATTGATTCAATAAAGCATAACGAACAAATGTGCAAAAGAAAAAACTGGTGTTAAAAGTACAAATAGGTACGTTATTAAAAAAAGCACATTGCTGTTCGGTTAATACTGACGTTGTACAATAGCATAGCGTTATTGGCAACTAGACTAACGGTTAAGCACATCATCATTATCAATAGGATGCTAAAAGCAGATTACATAACTATAAGCGTGAATAGCATGCTAGAGTATGTACAATACACTTGTTCCTCTAAGTTCTAAACTTCAATTTTTTGTTTAGCATAGCAGATGAATTTGCCGATAGTACTGACCAAATTGCTAAATGGGGTTTTGTTAGTAAGTTGGATGAACGAGTTCTAACTGCCGATCTTCAACCAATAATAGAATGGTGGAAGAATAACATCAGCAATAACAATGTTTTGCAAGATCAGTTTATTCAGCCTATTGCCATCTCTGAGCAATCTCCTTCATCGATGGTGGATAAACCGGATTACTTTTCTCGACCGCCACCATATACCTCGTTACAAAATACTGTTATTGGTCAGTTGATAATTTCAGTGCAACGAGCTCATGGTCCAGATGGAAGTCGTTTTTCGTTCAAAAATAATCCATTTGCTGTTATTGAATGTAATCATCAAAGATATGCAACAAATGTGCACGATAAAGGCAGAAAATCCCCGATGTGGGCAATAGATGGACCGTTTTCATTTAACATTTATACAACGGGCGATAAAGTCAACATGTGGGTACTAGATAAAAATGTACTCAGAAATCGAGATAAGCTATTAGGCAGTTCCAAAGTCAGTGTTAAATTTTTGCTTGATCATGATCAAGATCAACTGGAAAAATGATTACCATTACACAGAAGATGGGAATTCTGGTGGTCA